AAATTTGTATTACTTTTCTGAATACAGGAAATAAACTTAGGGATATAACCTGAAATCCATTCTTGCCATACAGTGTATCTTCATATTAACTGAGCAAATAGAGGAAGTAACTATCATACAATCTAGATGAAATATGACCTTTATTGGCTTCTTATCTGGTAACTGAACTTCCTTGGATAGAATCCAAGAAAGAACAATTCTATGAGAAATTCCACATAATGAATAATTTTATATCACATTTCCAGTATTTAAGTCTATAAAAACATAGATTGCCTACTAAAATAACTAATCAGCTTATCTTCTCTTCAGAGTAGTTATATTTTCAAAGTGCTTGCTGCAAAACATGTAGTCAAAAAGTCAAATGTATTCAAATATGGTTCCTGTTCCTCACACTAAAACCTTTCACTTTATCATGGATGTATTTTCCCCACAAGAAAACAAGCATGACAGGTTTTCTCGGCATAACTGCCTAACTCTTAAATGGTAATCTTTTAAAATGTCTCATGTAAGAAATTGAAAAAATGGAAATAAAGTGTTTGTAAATGGGGAGGGGAGGAGGGGGTGAAGGGAGGGCAGGGACAAGGGGAAAAATGAGAATCAAGACCTATTATGTAAAGGTACTGGATCCCAATAATGAATGTAACTGTATTGTATACCTAGATTGTACCAATAAACTCAATAAAAAGAAAAAAAAAGTTTCGTATTTATTTCTGCCAAATAAAACTAGATCAAAACAGCATCGAATACCCCTTCTCTCCCAGGTACCTACGGATACCAAAAGTAATCATAATATCTGAGACTGTAGTTTCTAATCTATAAAGTATCATTCCAAATTAAAAGCTGATTTAACATATCTTCTAAAAAGAAATGTAGGCTGGGGATTAAGCTCAGTGGTTCTGTTGCCTGCCTCACAAGCACAAGGTCCTGAGTTCAATCCCCATTACCGAAAGAAAGAAATGGGACTGCTCCATTTATTTTCAATTCATAAATATGTTCAAAATTTGCCAAAGCAAGTCAACTCCACAATAGTTCCCACTTATGCTAGTTTTGGGCATCCTATTCTAGTCTCAAATGCTGCTTGTTGTATTTATGCTTATTTTTTAGGATATTTTAAGAATATAAGTATTACCAGAAGATCAATAAATTCAAATAAAGCAGAAGCATGGAAATAGCATGATGTACAAACATGGTTAGTGGTAGAATATATGCTTGCTTTTGCAGCACATGAACTAAAAATGTGGAAGAACTTTAGGTGATATATCTATAATATTTTAAATATATACAACACAAAGATGATATATTTCTTTCTACTTTGTATAATAAAATATCCCAAACTGTTAAGTGTCTTCTTGAATGAAAGCTAACTCTACTAAATACTCAATTACTGCTGGGTGTGATGACACATGCCTGTAATCCTAGCACTTGGAAGGCTGAGGCAGGAACACTACCATAAGTTCAAGGCAAGCCTGAACAACATAGTGAGACCCTGTCTCAAAAACAAACAAAAAAACACTCAATTACTAAAGGAAACTTTAAACCACCCAGTTATATATTAAAAACCTCATACCAGTAAACATTGTTTACGTAATTTATATCTTTCAATCTAGTAAATGAGAAGACTCTGATAAAATTAAAATGATTTATAGCTTAGATAAATCATTACTATAAAATATTAATGATCCAGTTCTCCAGCAGTTCAGCTTTTGGACAGAGCCATCATTACTAGCAACTAGGTATAATGGAAAAAAGAAAAAAAAAAGGTCAGGCTTTGGAACCAGGAAGACATGAATTTGACCCCTAGTGTACCACATATTGGACACTAACTTTCCAAATCCATTTTTCATCTCTAAAAGGGAATTCTTAATTACCTACTTTGAGGGATATAAGTAGTAAAGGTACATGTAAAACATCTGGCACATAGTAGGCACTACGGAAGTATCAGTTGTTATTTTATTATTTATAAGTATATCCATGAAAAGAGGGTATAAAAAGAATTTGATATGAAGATAAATTGGAACATGGGTTACACTTAACTGTTGAAACACCTTGATAGTTGAAGTCAAACCTTAGGCACAATTTGCCATTTTGTATACATACATGCCGAGCACAGTGGCATATGCCTATAATCCCACCACTTGGAGACTAAAACAGGAGGACTGCAGGTTCAAAGACAGCCTGGGCAATTTATCAACTTATGAGACCTCAATCTCAAAAGAAAAAAAAAATGGGTATGTAGCTCACTACGAAGCCCCTAGGTTTCATCCCCAGTACTGCAAAAACCAAACAAACAAGAAAGGACATGATACAAAAATAAACTACAGCCTAGATGATATTTAGTTGTCAAAAAATAAAAGGCACCCTGTTAGTTCAAGTCAAACTGCAAGCTCAATTTTTTTTCAGTAAGAGAATACTATAGCTCCTCCTTCAAGAACATAAAATTCAAAATTATCTACCTGTTTACTTATATGAGAGCTCAGTAAAAATGAAAGATTATTACCACATAGTGTAACAGATCATATTATGAACAGGTGAGATGTCTTCACCACTGAAAAATGCCAAAACTAAGATATAAAAATGATTAAGAAAGGATAGTAAAAGAGTCCTACCTTTAAACCGACTGCTATAAGATCTGTAACAACACTGTATGGAAAAAGTAAAAAGAGAAAATGGAAAACAAAGTTAGAGAACAAGTTTTAAAAGACAGAGATAATAAGATTAAAGAAAAACAGAAAAGCACTATAACAACAAATAATGAAAACCAAAATGTGATGAGTTATGAAATGTTAATTCAAAGAAAAATGATGAAACAGTCTAGCAACCGCAGTATAGAAGCAAAGCCTCAACAGCAATGTAAGAAACAATAAATTATCTTTCAATTTTTAGAAAAGTATAGCTGTTTCAATAAGCATGCTTTGATCTTTTACCTCTATTTAACAAATGCAAATTAAACCACCAAAATCTTTTTTTGTTATTGTTATTATATGTTTGCAATACATAATACTTTTATCTTGGGGAAAATGGTACATAAACAGATCACATCTTAATACTTTTTACTTTCCCTTTTTTTCCTCTCCCTCCCCAAAATTTTGTCTCTCAAATCACTGGTATGAATGATGGAATCTAAAGTTCTGAATGAAAATAAATAACTGATTGGGTTTTGCAGAAAGCATCTTGCAAATCTGCATTTACCATCTCAAACTGCTCACTAAAATAAAGTTAAAACATTCCTCCAGAACTAAAATAAATACACCAAGTTTCAGACACCAAATTTTTCAAAAAGATTTGCCTAAAAAATATTTTATCACATCAAAACTGTGTTTAAGTAGAAAATTATTCTCACAAAGAAATGAACACAGTCACACCCACAAGACAGTTGGGATTTGAGGAGTAACTATAAAGGTATGTTGACCTGTGGCTTGTTTTTCTAACCAAAAAGAAGGAAAAGGACCTTTCTTAGGCTGGAGAAAAAAAATGAAAAAAAATTTAAATCCTAGCCAGGCATGGTGACACATGCCTATAATCCTAGGAATCTAGGAGGCTGAAGCAGGTGTACTCCAAGTTTGAGCCACACCTGGACAATTTAGCAATCTAAGGAGGCTCTCTCAGAATAAAAAATTTAAAAATGGCTAGAGATGTTAACTCAGTGTGAAGGCTCCGGATTCAATGCCCAGTATGGAAAACAAAAACAAAACAAAAAAAGTTTTTCTTCACATTTTTGAAAAGAAAATTGCAAAAATTCTACACATTTATAATGTCTTTATTATTTCATAAAAAATAAAATACATGACTGGATTAAGTTATATAAATTTAATTATTTTCCTTTGTAAAACTCTGAAACTTAAAATTAGTGGTTCCAAAATTTAAGCATGATTTTTTAAATTTTTTCTTAAAAAATTAATTTTTCTGCATAAAAAACAAAAGTATGTCATAATATTATTATTGCTCCTGATACAAAGAGCAAATCACGCTCCCACTTGAATTCCCAAATGAACTTACCTTCCAGTACCTATACCACTGCCCTCCATATTTAAGCCAATAACCTCATTCCTAGCTTAAAAGACAAAGGCAAAGTTAACTTCTTAAAAGCCATCAAAAAGATGATGATCACACTTCGCAAATGTCCAAGAACAAAACCTAAGAATTCTCTTGATTTTAAGGACAACTTTTGACACAAAAAAAGCTAGCCTGCTTCCATAGCTAAAGTTGAACTTCCTAAAGACAAGTCACTACATACACTGAAATACCATACTAATTTCAGACTTCCTGAACTTATATATTAGCAAAACAGAAATCATTAAAATAGCAAAACTGTGCACACATATAAAATGTAAATAAGATAATGTGAAATAAGTCTTCAACAATGCTCAGAGAAGCTTCAACAAAACAGCTTTATTAAAAAATACTTTAAGGATTACAACTATAAATAAAATCGAAAACTGCCCTTTGATGTCTGTAACAGAGTAATCTGCACTCAAATGAGTTAATTCACTTATCATGCTTAATATTGTGAAACTAAGATAAATGAAATGTAATGAAGGCAAAAATTGTTGGAAGATAGTGTCTTCACACAGCATGTAACAATCATCCACTATGTGGCAACGTGTTAACTGGTTTTTACTTTCCAACCAACTTCTCTATATATTCCACAAAACAGGTTTACAGAATGTCATCAACAATACTGGCAGGACAAATAAAATCTCAAATGCATAGTGGGAATAAAATGGATTTGGAGTATCTAATAGGGCTGGAGACTTTTAAAAACCTTGACGTTACATATTACCTTGTTACTCCCCAAGCCTCTTCAATGACTGCTTTAATCATTAAAATATAACAAGTCCCATCCCATCCCATAAATGCATTAATCATTAAAACATATCAAGTCCCACCTTCACATATCCCAGGGAAATGTTTTTAGGTGATTCTAAATCTATTTATTTTGGTCACAGAACCCCCCCCATTAATTTTTTAGTATCTGAAACCTCCCAGGAAATTGCACTTACACGATCTTTTACAGGCACGGCAGAGAATTCACGAAGTTTCTCGGGGGTGGGAGTGGGTGGAGGAAGGAAGGGTTCGCGGTCACTAAGTCCAGACGCCCGGCGCACAATGTTAACATCCCACAGCTCAAGTCCAGAGACCTCGACGCTCCCCCGGGGCCGCGGTTCTGGACCCGGTCGCCGCCCAGACGTGCAGCGCCGCGCGCACTGGG